CTAAATTGTAATTATGAGTTTGGTGTGCATCACTATTTGTCTCTGTGTTGGCCTGTGATGGAATACTGACATGTCTAGGGTGTAGTTCTTCCACCCCCCGACCTGCGCCAATAAATGGCTATGCACGTTGGATAGATGGATGTATCGTTTTCCTTCTACGTTTAGCCTATAACACACAGTCTGAGTAAACTAAGTTGGTAGTTGTAATGTGACAAAATGTGAAAAAGTCTCAGAGGTATAAATAGTTTTGAAAGCAGCTTCATGTAAAGTGTCAGAAGAATTGATGTGGTTCCTGTGCAGGTGCGGCACATGATGTGGAGACTCCGCCCCCCGGCTCTCATTCAGCCCACTCCTCGTTGTTACAACACGTCCTGTTGCTTGAGCAGGCCCGACAGCAGACTGCTATGCTGGGTAATACAAACACCAAACTAGTCAGACATTTGCCAAGCAGAATACAATTCTTACTATGTTTGTCCTGTGACCATCCACCCACTCAGTGCCCATGTACAATCAGTCACCGCTGGTTACTGCAGAGAGAGGTGTAGCCACTGGAATGCGGCCCGTCAACAAGCTGCCCCGCCACCGACCGTTGGCTCGCACACAGAGCGCCCCTTTACCCCAGTCACCCCAGGCGCTGCAGCAGCTGGTGGTCCAACAGCAGCACCAGCACTTCCTGGAGAAACACTATAAGGTAGACCACTTCACACACCTCAAGCATGACCTGTTATAGGTCTGCACAGTAACACAACATGTGGTTGGTAGATGCTATCGAAGGGGGGAGACCTCCCTAGACCACCACCCACTCACCCTGAGGAGACGGAGGAGGAGCTAACAGAGACCAATGACATGCAGGAGGATGAAGGCTCGGCTCCTAACAGGTGCAGTGAAAGCTTTTAGAAACCCAAGCTTAAATTTCTTAAGTTCCTAGTTGTTGCTTTTTAAGTGTAAGAATTTTCCATGTTTTCTTTGGCATGTAGCCTGCAGAAAGAGGGATCAGATGACAGCAGCCACTCATCTGAGCGACTGGCCAGCCACCTGAAGGGAGAGGAGGAACCCAGGGTCATCCAGGTCAAAGGCGAGAGCACGGAGAGTGAGCTAGATGAAGATGAAGAGGATGATGATGTCATTCAGCTAAGGGAGAGCGAGGAAGAGGAAAGGGGCAGCTACATACAGGTTGGTGTGAAAATGTCACTGAACACACACATTCATTCCAAAGTCCTTGACATAATTCTATGGCAGTCTGGAATATTCTGGAGAAGTCTGAAATTGGCTTAGAATTTTTACAGGTGAAGCTAAAAATGAAATAACACAAAACATATTTGGATTAGTGTGGACTGAACTTTCCATCCATCCATCCATATTCCTTTTTTCCTTCCTTCTTACTTTCTTTTTCTTGTTGGCGTGGGCCTGTCTGTAAGTGATGAAGTGATGTAGGGAAGTGAGACTAAACCCTCACCTTTCAAATATTTCTGTGTCTCGCTGTGATGTATAAGCAAAGAGACACAACCAGTAATGTTTGCTGAAAGATATCCAGGCATGGGTGCATGTCAGTTATCTCCATAGAGTTAATTCTTTTCCTTCTTTAAACTGCAATTCATTCCCATGATGGGAATGAATGGGAATGAATTGTGACAGAAGCACAAAGAATGCTTCTATCATTGTGTCCTTGGGCAAGAGACTTGAAAGGGCCCAACATGGGGCTTCTGTCAGACAGTGGCACCTCCAGATTTTTTTTCCTGTAGGTACTAAGGGGGAGCTAAGCATTTTACTGAGGGTGCTATGACGGATATTTTTCCCCTATAGTTATCAACACACATACATTAGTATTGTTATTTTAATCAGACTGATTTGCGTGTATTTGACGCTTAGATGTCAGCATGAAGTTTTGAGCCATTAGCCATACTTCAAGATAATATTACATTGTTTAGGTTAAAACAGCATTTATGACAAAGGGGAAACCCAAGTATTGACCCTTTGCAACTATATCACTTAATCATTCGAAGCGCCATGATGTACATCGGAAGTGAGAATCTGGAGTATTGAACTGAGGCTGAAGTTGTTTTCCCAGGTTGTTTTTGTGTTTATTCATGGCTCCTGTTTGTTCAAGTCAAGCTAATTTGTCTGTGAACGTAGCACACCTGGTTGGGGCTCATAGACA